ACGGTGGCTCCCCTGCTTCTCCAGCCCAACCGTAGGCCTCCAGCTGGCGGGGAGCACGTCAGCCTAAGAGACCAGGAGAGGGTCCGCTCCGAGTAGGAAACAAAGGGATACGTAACGTGAGGAGAGGGATGGTGCCTGGGGTCCCCTGGGTGTATTGGTAGCTCTACAGCTGACCCGTTCCCAGCCGGCGCAGCTCTCCGGCCCCGGGCAGTCAGGAGGGGTCACTTCGGCACCCACAAGCCAAGGAGGCTCCCGAGGGGCCGGAGCCCGAGCCCTGCCCCAGCCAGGCGGCGGTGGCTCAACCCTTACACCCACCCCTTTGTACGACAGGACAGAGCTCGCGCTTGGAAGCGCCAATACGCGCGCAGGGCCGAAGCTACGCTGCTCCTGGAACCTTCCTGGCGCTGGAACGGCGCAGAGCGGGCCAGATCAGTCACACACGCTTCTGCCTTCGACAGGGGCAGGAGCTAAGGTGCCTCACCTCTCCCTGCTTCGCTGGGAAACGCTCTCCTGCCGCGTAACCTGCGGGAGCAGACAGGTAGGGATGGGCTGCCCCTCAGGTTCGTGCCTGCGGTGAGACGTTGCACTGAAGACCTGGGTGCTGTCTGGGCACGGCCCCCGGGGCTGTGCTCACCCCTCCGCCCCACGCGTCTCACACCGTAATGCGCTCGGGTGCCGCAGCAGGCGCTGGCTCGCTGGGTGAGGGGCTTCTATTTTCTGCCAGAATAGCAGCCTCGGCCTTGCTAGGGCTCTGCTAGTACTGCCAATACTGCTGTAGCTGAAATGAAGCGCAGGGGAAGGCTTATGCCCTCAGATCATTTTGTCTGCTACAATCATTAAAATGAGAAAAGACCAAACTTCAGCCCCCTCACTTTAGTACCAATGAACGTTCTCATTTCTGACCGTTAGAAAGCACGGGTTAGCTTAAAACCAGCCCCGAGCGTTAGCCTCGCGGGGAGCAGAGCTGCCTGCAAGGCAGAAACCAGGCTGCTGCCGCAGAACGTGCCCTGTGCTTCCCCGGCCCCCCGAGCTGTGCCTGCCCGAGCGCAGCCCCCCCGGTCAGGCTGGGAAAACCAAGCCCTCGTAGGCAGCAGGGATGGATCCTGGGGGATCCATCTGCTCCCCAGAAGGCAGGTTAAGAAAGAGCGAGCTGACTGCAAGCACGATGCCGACGGGCACTTCCCCTCCAGCCAGGGGCTGAGCGGGTGTCCAAACCCAGCTGCGGCGCTGACAGAGCGTGCTTCCGCGGCACCCTCGGGCTCCACGCCGGGAGCTTCTCTTCGGACCTGGAGCAGGCAGCTGCTCGGCCACTCGCATCTGAACGGACAGAAGGCTGCAGAAGTGGGGCTTTCTGGTTTCTACCTCAATTCACTGGGCCAGGCCCTTTGTTTTAGATCCAAGTTCCTTCCAGCAGCCAAGTGCTCAGCCCAAGAACCCCTGCTCGGCCTCCACCTAGCCTGCTGAGAACAGAGCTTGCCTGTTCCGGCTGCCTCTCTCTGTGCCCAGGGATGTTTCAGTTCAGCCCCAGCTGGGCAGCTCGGCCCTGCTGTGCCAACTGCAGCCCCGCAGCCGGGCTCTCGGGCAGCCCGAGGGGCAGGAGCAGGCGCCCGGCGGGCTGCGGTGGGCAGACGCAGCGCTGCAGCTTGGGCTTTCCCGCACCACAGGGGCTCTGGGTGTCAGCCTTCACTCCCAGCTTGTTCCAGGGACACCCAAACAAAGGCCTTGCCCAGCTCCCAGCCACAACACCCAAGGGAGCAGAGCCTGGAGTTAAACACAACTGAAATTTAAGCTGCACCTTGTCCCGAAAGGCTCGTCCTTGACAGCTCCTGGCGTAGCAGCTACCCTCCGCGGGTACGTGTTTCACACCTTGCGCAG